GAGGCGGGGCGAGGGGAGGCGCCTGGGGACCCGAGAGCTGGATGGGCCAGCGCTCTCTCTGTGCATTCTCTCGGTGCCGGGACGCAGGACGGTGAAAGGTGGATTGTGCAGAGCTCCGGAGAACACCGCTGGATTGCAATACACCTTCCCCAGACCCTGCGACCTACCCATTACTTAATTTGTGAGTTACAGCATTAAATAAATATCCTTTTAACTACGTGGAGTGGCCAAAATAATTTCTCCAATAATAGACAACTTAACAAATGGGCTGATGAAATGAACAGTTTTCAAAGAAGAAGTACCAACATTCATGGAGAAAGATCATTGACCATATGAAGAGTGTCTAGGATCCTTAGTCAGAAGGAAAATGTAAATTAAAAATACTTTGAGATTCCATTCCCCCCCTTCCCCCCGTCTCTCTCTCTCTTGAGACAGGGTTTATCTGTATAGCTTTGCGCCTTTCCTGGAACTTACTCTATAGACAAGGCTGGCTTCGAACTCATAGAGATCTGCCTGCCTCTGCCTCCCGAGTGCTGGGATTAAAGGCATGTGCCACCACTGCCCAGCTCCATTTTTCCTTTCTCATTTCATCCCAATCAGGATGTTTACTATTAAGAAAACATGATAAAAATGTTGGCAAAACATGCATACACACACGCATGTGCGTGTGTGTGTGCGTGCGTGCGTGCGTGTGTGTGTGTGTGTGTGTGTGTGTTTGTGTGTGTGTGACTGTAGGGAGCAGAGAAAACTCTTATACAACACATTTGGAGTTGTAAATTAGTTGAGTTCCTATGGAAATCAGTATGAAGGTTCCTCAAAAAACTGAAAATTGAATGACTATATGATCCATCCAGAGAACATCACTTGAATGTCTGTTTACTGCAGCACTGTTCATAATAGCCAAGCCCAGGTGGCTGTCCAAAGTTGAATGGATGAGGAAAATGTGGTACACATACACAACAGAGTGCTATACATCAGAGAGAAGAATGAAATGTCATCTGCAGGAAAATGGATACAAAGTTGAGATTGCCACATTGAGTACCAGAAATGAGATGATGCAGACAAGACTGCGTATTTTCTCTAATTTGTAGATACTGGATTTTATACAGATAAATAAAATTATATGCTATATCTGAAAGTAGATGTGAGACCAGGATAATGGAGGGAAAGTGTGTGTGTGTGTGTGTGTGTGTGTGTGTGTG